TGTACAATAGAGTCTTTAATTAATGATCGAGAGGTAATATTGAACTTGAAAAAAATAAAATCCTATATACGCACTCAGTTAATTAGCCTACTTAAACTACCACAAACCTATATAACAATTTTTGGCGTATGGTAAGTTGGATAATCTTGAAGTAGACTGATTTGTTATTATCTTAAAATTTAAAATTTATATGAAATAAAATAGTGGAAAAATTTCAAAATTAGTCCCGCAGATATAGGGGGTGACAATTTTGGTCCCGACGGAATGGATAAAATATGAATAGTCCCACAGCTTTTAAAAAATGATCAAAAGTAAGACTTTTTCGCCGGATTTACTATTTCTGGCCCGGAGCGCCACGTGGCGTACACGTGGCTTATTTTATACACGCTGGCATCCGACGTAGATAGGAAAAAATTCAAAACTAGTCCCACAAGTATAGAGGGGTGACATTTTTGGTCCCGACGGAATGCATAAAATTCAAAACTAGTCCCACAACTTGTAAAAAAATATGAACACGTCGGATGCCACGTGACGTTCCGGGCCGAAAATAGTAAATCCGGCGAAAAAGTCCTACTTTTGATCATTTTTTAAAAGCTGTGGGACTATTCATATTTTCTGCATTCCGTCGGGACCAATATTGTCACCCCCCTATACCTGTGGGACTAATTTTTAAATTTTCCCTAAAATAGCCATATAGTAACTATTGTTATAATGATTTTTTTTCAACAACTATTAGTTTTTTTTTTTAATCACAACCATAAGCCCCGCCGACACCCCGCCGAGAATAGCCTAAGTGGCTATCCACACCAACCTCTTTCATTTGGTTCGGATCCTCTCACGTGTACTGAGTGATTTGTTCTAAAAACAGTATTGCACTTCAAAACTTTTAATTTTCATTCGAGGATATGTAAAATCATTATTTTCATGATAATTACTAGTCATACTTAATTACATATTTAGTTTTACACTTCAATTTATATATAATTGTTCGTTTGACCTATCATGAAATACATATTATTAAATTTATTCCTTTTCCTTTTTCTTTTTTCTTTTTTACTTCATTATATTATATTATTTTAATTCAATTGGGAAAAAATTGTTGTTGGAAATCAAAATTGCAATCATTAATATTATATTGTAAAAGAATGTCTAATACCTATTCAACTTGGGAAATACTACTGTTGGATATCAAAATTGTAATCATTACTATTATATTGTCTAATACCTACACTACAAAATTTGTTTACAAGATTTTATTATATGAATAGATCCTTATTGTGTTCAAATTAGTTTGGCTGATTAGATTTTTTTATTGAAATTATGTTTTTACAATATTCCTATTAAAATTATATCAAATATAAGGACTTCTTAGTCAAACTTTTTTTTTTTTTCACAAAAATCATTCCTTAATATTGTAGATAACTAATTTTCAGTTTGTAAAATTGAAGATACTTCTTCCTCCGATTTTCTCATTGTTCGACATTCGACTATAAAGAATAATCAAGAAGTTTTGACTAAGCATTTCTCATAAGTGAATGACTCCTTTCTTAGTTTTGCATAAAAAAATATTTGTACATCTCATCACTACATAATAATAATAATAATAATAATAATAATAATAATAATAATAATAATAATACTAATAGCAATAATAATAATAATAATAATAATTTGGTTTTGATGTGGCAAATGAGTGAAGAATCACCAGCATAATAGATGAGTGCATATTTTATAGATTGAATCCGGCAAAAATTGTATTTTGGTCCGCTAACTTGTCCATTGTCCTTTTTTGTTACATTATCTTTTTCCTCATAAAAAATGGTCCATTATGTTACACTTTTCATCAGTTTTAGTACACTAATCCCGTGGTCCGGGATTATGAGATGCCAAATCAGATTTTTATCCTACCACGTCAATATCTTATCCCTCCACGTAGTTCCAATCCTGATCCACGTAATGTTGTAATCTCGCCAACTGGAGTAGCGTACTAAAACTGATGAAAAGTGTAACATAATGAACCATTTTTATGAGGAGAAAGATAGTGCACCAAAAATGGACAATGAACAAGTTAGAAGACCAAAATTGGATTTTTGCGGATTGAATCTTTTAATTTGTACGGTATTTTAACAATGAATTTGGATACGAATAATTCTATTGTCTTTAATATCTTGCTAACTAAGTTCGAGAATACAATACTGTTATGAATCGAAAAGTTATAGTCATGGCATCTATCAATGTGATCATGAGTTAAATTTATACTCTAAATTTAAAGTATCAATATCTCAACATGTGAAAACAATTTTTTAAATTTTTTTCTGAAACTTAGTTACCCAAAAGATGGACAATTATATATCAAAATATACTTATTCGAATTAATAGATCTTCCAAATTTTGTAATTGTGCTTGAAAAAAAATTAAGGCCAAAGTTGATTAATCGTATTTTATGGAGCTACATTTATACATTTTCTCTTGAATTTATTCAAGGTAGTTCTAGATAAAAGATGAGCTATAAAGTTAGTTCATGATATTCTCACCTCATGTTTACCCTTAAAGAAACAATGAATACCTCACTATAACAACTCGATTCCTTTTTTATTCTTCAAACTATATAAAAATTTAAATATAAACAGTTTTTTTTTTTTCGGAACGATAAAGAATATTATGTAACAAAACGCACAAATATGTAAAGATACAACCCCTAGTTAATAATAATACAACCAAAAGTTGAATAAACTGTGAGGTTAGGTCAGACGACTGCCTAGAATCCCGACAATAGCAACGGTAGAAACCAAAAACAAGACTCACTACACAACAAATACGACAAACACTAAGAAAAACTACAAAGCTCCCAATATGAGAATAAAGACAGGAGCTGATCCTAAAAAGATAATGTCCACTCCCATTCTGGCGCACAAAGGGCAACGGCCCAAACTAAAAACACGAATCCTAAATAACAACGGACACAATAAGAAGAACTAAACACACAAAAACTAAACGAACAAGCACAACCCTTCCCCAACAGAGTAACCGAGCCCAACACAAGGTACCAACGAAATATTAAATACTAACACAATATTTTAAAAAGTATATTTAAAAAAAAGGAAATCCAAACAAAGATAAGACAATAAAAAAATATTTAATATGAATGTTGGAAATTTCCAACATCACTGCAATGGAGAGCATGACAAATCAAATAAATATAAAAAAATTATAATAAAAATATGAAGTTAATGATCATGAGGTAATAGTGAACTTGGAGAAAAATATAACTGATTTTAAATAGTCACTCAGTTAATTATAATACTTAAACTACTACAAACCTATGGGATAATCTTGAAGTAAATTGATTTGTTCTGTTATATTAAAATTTAGAATTTTACGTGAAATAGAATAGACATATAATAACTAATGTTATAATGAACTCTTTTATACAACTATTAGTTTTTTTTTTATTTTTTTTTTATATTTTTTGGGTGTTTATCACAACCATAACCCTCGCTGTCACTCAGCCAAGNCCCTTTAGCGAGAGAAGGGCACTTCGAAGTAGGTGTGGAACTGCAAGTGAATCTATAGTTATTGTCAATCTCACGCTACAATCATCTAAAGTTGTCATAAAACTCTCAAACTAAACAATAGCATTTGGATTTGTTTCAAGAATAATCTCTTACCACAACCACTTCCCAAAAACATGCCATAATATAATTTGCTAATCATAATTGCTAATTGCCAAACAAAAATGACACAAAATTAATACTTGAGCACCATAAATATGAAAATAATAAAATTAAGTTCTAAAAATGAATCTTTTTCACCTTAAAAATAGTACGGACTTTTGCCATATATGATGTTGAAATTCTTGAGGGGTATTTTTGACGGCATAACCAGCAAACTTGAGTGGAGAGAAATCGCGTCAATGGGCCATTACCATTTGTGACGGCTTTTTTGCCTTCAGTACCTCTTGTCAAACATTCAACTATTTATGTAAATTATGAATTTTAAAAATAAAAATTAAATTACTTATAATAGATATTGTTATACATTATAATTATAAGTCAACGAATCATTTGTCGAACAACAGTGTAAACTATTAATGTAGAAAAAAATATTTATAATATATATTGTTATAAATTTATAATAAAAAATCAAGTTGTGTTGAACACCCATGTGTATTATCATACTAGAATGAAAACTCAAAATATTTTTAATATACATTATTATAAACTATAATAAAAAATAACATAATTTTAACGTAATTAAAGTTATTAAATTTTATAAGTTTAAAAAAATGTACACAACATTCTTTTTAAATAAGTGTCGTTGTATAATAGTTGTCACAATTCAGTTTATCCTCACTTACTTGAGAATCAAATTAATATTTTATAATAATGTATGAATAGGTGAATAGAGTTATGTATTATTTTAGTAACATTTATTGATAATGTTCGAATATATTAAATTTGAATATTTTTTAATTCTAAACACGGACACTAAAATTACATCTGTTTTATAATGGTGAAGTATAATTTATGATATGTTAAACTATTATACATCATCAAAATAAGATAAAAAAATAAAAATTAATATTAATATTCAATATTAATTTTATATTTATTGATATTTCTTCACCGCTTTATTTTATACTTCCTCTATTCCTTTTATTTGTCATTTTAGCATTATTGACTATTAATCAAATAAATGACACTACATGATTTGGGAGAAACTTTGCGGAATACGATGAGTTTTCTTTCTTAAAAATTAATGTTAATTTGCTTTAAATAAGACAATATTGACATGAAAAAACTCTTAATTTATGTGCTAGAAGCACAAAATGACATTTAAAAAGAATTCGAAGGAGTATAATTTATCATTATTGTTGTGTAACATTGAAAATAATAAAAATAAGTTATAAAATTGAATCTTTTTCACTTTAAGTAGGGACTTTTGAGTTTTGCCATATATGATGTTGAAATTCTTGAGGAATACTTTTGACGGCATAACCAGGAAACTTTATTGAAGTGGGGAAAGTGGGAGCCAGAATAGCTGAACACGCCTTCTGTAGTGGGTGAGAGACAAAGTCCGAGGTCGCCATTATACCAAATCCAAATCTACGTACCTGTGACACTCGCGATTGGTGATTTCAAGTGATAGCCCATTATTCTCAACAATGAGTCAAACAAGTTTTCTTGAATTTCGAATTGAAGTTTCTTCAGCTGCAGAATATTCCATCACGTTTCGTGTAAGTTTCACTTTCCCTATTCCTCTCTCGTGGGGTTCGATTCATTTCTGTCTGGTTCCTTGAAAAATGTAGACGCTTTACAATACATGGGAAAAAAGGTTGCTTTTTCAAATTGCTATTTCTTAATTTGTCTATTTGGCATTGTTGTCTATATATGTTGTCTTCTCAATGTATTCAAAAATTTTTCGAATGCTTGTTGCTTTTTTCTGCAAGAGGGCTTTGTGCGTTCGTCCGAATAAGTTCCAAGCTGAAATCTTTCTCTTTCAATTGCGTGCAATTTAGGCATAATACTATTGAAGATGTGTATGTTGCCCAGTTGGGTACTTTTNTTTTCTGGATATTCTTCCCTCTGGTATTGTCATCTTGTTTTGTGGATTTACTCTAATTCCATATAACTTAGCTAAAATAGAAAAAGCTTACTTTGTAGGGGTCCGTGATTGAAAATCCATTGTTTTAGCACTCAAACTCGAAACAATCCCACCATTTTACTAGACATTGCTGCTATGTATGTCCATGTTCCTTTGAAAGGTCTTACCTTTTTTTTTTTGTTTTATTATTTTTTTTCCTCAACTCATTTGCAGCTGTTCTTCCTATTACAGGATGGATGCTACTAAAAAATCATCACCTAGAAAACTGGAAGAATGTAGAATTTGTCATGACGAAGATGACGAGTCGAATATGGAGGTGCCCTGTTTTTGTCGGGGGAGCTTGAAGGTTAAGTCTTAAACCATTCCTAGTATATAACATATCAAATTGTTTGAAGTGCAGGATATAACACACTTGATTGTTGTTAATAAAGTACAATATTTTTATGGAGCATCTTTAACTAAATGTTGAAAGTTTCTTCTTTTGTGGCGTTATCTTGGAGTGTAATATGCATTCACTGTAATGGATAGCATGATTATATGTTGTAATGCACTGGAAGTAATGACCATGTTAATCACCCCTTTGATATATATGATTATGACGATTTGTTTATGGTAATATACATTCACTCATTGGCATGTATTGGTAAATTCACTATTTTGTATCATCATACCTAGAAGCAGAAGAAGAATAATATATATTTAAATAAAAAGAAACGTAAAACATTTGGGGTTTTTGCAGTAAAAACATATCTTTGACATAATTTATCAAAATGTATATCAAGAACTTGCCCCCCATGTAATCTAATGAATGAATTTCTTAGGATGAAATATACTTTGGGAAAAGAGAGCTGAAAATTTATATGCTTGAACAGAAATAACCTCTTCGGCGTGTTACGTTTCGCCTAATTCAGAACAATATTCCTGTAAAAGTAAAATGAGCATATATGCTTCCACATAATTATCTGTGTGAATGACGAGTTTGGACACTGGACAGTTCTGGAAAAAAAATAAATAGCAGATGTTTTCAAAAGAGATTAAAATTAATAAATATAAAGGTAATATTGGATAATGAGCTTGTGAGCTTCTTGTTTTCTTTTTTCACAGTATGCTCACCGTAAGTGCGTACAGAGGTGGTGTGATGAGAAGGGTGATACCGTTTGCGAGATTTGTCTACAGGTCCGATAATTTTGTCTGTAGTTATATTATAACATTGAAAAGGATCCGGTTTTTTAAGTTCCCATTGAATATCCCCACAGTATATATATACTCTTATGGAAACAAATTTTGTGTTACTTTCAATTCTGTGTGACTGTTGTGTGGTTGCAGCTTTTCAAGCCAGATTATACAGCACCACCTCCACTTTTTCATTACAGTGGGATTCCCATGAACTTCAGGTCTCTCTTTTTTTCATTTTCCATATGCTAAAAGTTTGTTTTGAACTTGGAAGGGTCCTAAATTCATTTCTACCTTCTTGTTTATTAAATTTCATGTCCAACCTTTGATTTACGCACGTCAGGGGAAATTGGGAGATATCTAGAAGCGACCTGCGTAATCCTCAATTCATATTTGTTGGGTCTAATGATAGAAGTTCTCTATATCCGAATTTCGATGACCTCACGGAAAACACTTCAAGAAACTTGATATGCTGCCGTATAGTTGCCATGATTGTAAACTCTCTTTCTCTCTTTTCACTTTCAGTTATGTTCTCTATCTAATTATTTCTGCAAATGTACCATCATTGAAATACAAGTAGTTCTGTTGGTTTACAATTTATTTTTATTTTTTTGTCTGATTATAGTTTATCATTCTCCTGATAATGCGCCACACCCTACCATTGTTCATCTACGGAGCTGGTGAATACTCGATTTCTTTGGTCATGGTGAGCTTTGCTGAGCCATAAATGTCGATATTTTCAATCTGTTTAATCAAACATTTCACACTTTTTTCTAATGCAGTTACTGATGTTACGTACAATCGGGATACTTCTGCCGATTTATATCATTGTTAAAGCATTAACAGCTATACAGAGAAGGCAAAATCGGCAGGTGGATAAACTTTCTCTAAATTGTTAATTCGATTGTATTTTTTTTGGTTTATCAATACAATTTTGTTTTGTACCTTTTTGTTTTAGGATTTCCCGGTTTTACCTCATGAGGCATTCATTCGAGAGAATGAAGTAGCCGGACGAGTGCCAGAAGCACATGTCATTCAGGTTCAATAAATGAGAGATAATTTCTCGTCCGAATAGTCGTCATATGGTACTCCACAACAATGACTCTAAAGTCTGCTTTCTGAGGGATTATATTGCACACAGACCAATTTAGACCATCGAAAATGGCTTCAATCTGAGTGCTCTAAAGAAAGAAATCGGGAAAAAAAGAACGAAGAATTATGTATTTGAATGTGAGAGTTCCGTCGGTTTTTATATTACAGTGTAAATTTAAAACGGTAATCGTGTAAATTCAAAACGGTTTTTATATTTGAATGTATTTGAAGTCTGTGTTGATAATGTGAATGAGTCTGAATGTATTGCAAAAAGACTGAGAGGGTCAGGGAAAGATAAAGCTATAATGGTGGAGGAGGCCAACAAGAAATGGCCCCACCAGTTTAAATGAAGGTATGTGTGTGGAATTGTAGAGGATTGTGGGAACCCTATACAATTTCCCAAATCAAAGAGATCCTAAGATGCCACCTCTCAGATTTTCTTTTTTTTTTTTTTCTTTTTCTATCTGAAACAAAAAAAAAGTCTAGTTTTGTTAATTCTTTTTTAATAAGATTAAGTTAGATAAGAGATGGCTTTGTGTTGATCAAATTGGTTTTAGCGGTGGTCTTTTCCTTTACTGGTCTAGTAGAATAGAGGTCCTTAGTCTGTCTGTTTGTGATTTTTGTGTTGAAGTTTAATTTAAATTTAATGGGGAGTCTGAGATTCAAAGGGCTATTTTTTCTATGCAAGCACTGAAGAGGGCTTTGCAACGGGATGTATTATTGAATATTAGACAGAAATGGGGTGACCTCTGGATTATGAGAGGAGATTTTAATGATCTTCTATTAAATCAAGATTAATGACCTCTGAATTTTTCAGTGATTTTATTTTTATGCCGGTTGCAAGTTTTTCACTCCGATTTTCTTCGAGCATGCATTAGGAGAGTGGTTACTTGCTTTTAAGTTTCATTACTCTGTATTTTTTTAATTTATGAAGTTTTTCAAGGTGAATTTGGTGTTTTGCTTGTTGAATGGGGGAAGTTTAGATCTTTTTATTTTCATTGCTCGCCTAAGTGATTATAGGAGTTAAATACTTGCTATCTTGTATTAAAGTTTGAGACTTTGGTTAAAGCTCAATCATTTAGGTTAAGAAAGCTTGTGTTATACCTAGGAACTTAGTGCTAGCATACTTCTCTCTGTTTGTGCGCGTTTTTCTCGAGTTATAGAGATTCCGATAAACCAAAACCCCCATCTTTTCTCTTAAAGCTCTAATCTTCCATGTTTGCTTTCAAGTGCTTTCGATTTTTAGTTGTCATTAGTCTTAATTCAACCTTATCCAACATGATTATTATATTTAGGATATTATTTGCTATTTTTGTGCTTTTGGACAACTAGTTAGTAGGCAAACCTCCGAACTATCTTACGACCCGAGGTTTGAATAACTGGGTTAACAATTATTCTCGCTAAAATCAACTAAACATCGCGTGTGTCCTACCTTCCTCCCCTAGACCTTTACCTGAAGTTGCCAGATCTGCTCGACCATGTTTTCCAAGGCTTGATCCTTCTCGACCTCAACCGCTCGACTGCTGGACTCCGCTAACTCCGTTTCCAGTTTGGTCGCCTGGGTAGTGGTATTTGTCGCCATGGTTGGATGGCTGGCTTGTTGGGTCTGCTTTCTAGGCTCGCTCCTCTGCTCGGACATCCGCCAACATTCGCATGACTTCCTTGGTCATTGTGATGAGTTGTTGCGCAGAGGGATTCCTTGGTGGTCCCATAATTGAGTTTGAGCGATTTTCAAATTGGCCGGACTCAACCACTGCTACTCCTTCCAGCACGGCACCCTCTTGTGTGCTCGAACCACCGGTGCGTGGTGGAACTGGTGGAGGGCTCTCCGCGCCCAGGTTATTGGGCGCCGGGTCCTCAATTCTTGAGAGCCGGCTGAAGAGCAGGGTGGATGTCCCGCTCTCCAGGGCCTCATATTGACCCACGCTTCATCAAACGTAGGTGTTAAGTTTTTTACAGGAACATCGTTTACCGTGATTGCAAATCTAGCTTTTTGAACGCTTCCCACAGACGGCGCCAATAATAATGAAGTAGACTTCGGCCGGCCAGACTAATGCAGTAGGGAAATGGTTTCCTCGACCTCCACAGCTTCTTGTTCGACCTCAAATGGCTTCCACACCTGCAAGAACTCGACACTAGAAAGGGGATTTTTAGGTGAAGAGCCTCCGATGCCTAAGTCAGTATTACTCCAGGATAATGAATAGTAAATAAGTGTATAGAAATATGTAGATAATGTAACCCTAAAACTAACCTACCACATCCCTTTATATAGGGAGGTGGTGTCTTGTTCTACAAGTCTGCCTGGAAAGTTCACCCAGCTGCCCCTTTGTCCTTGTGTCAAATTCCCATTTTGGTAGATTGGTGGCCCTCCTTAGTCTACCTTTGTTAGATATCAAGAGGTCAAATCGACCTCATGGTCTTCTAAGATCAGGTCGAAGGTTAATTTGGCTATTGTCCCCTGGGTTGAGATGGATAGGGCTGCTTCATTAACCCGCTTAGTTGCTTGGTTCCTTTGAGGGGTCCAAGTCAGTACTATTTCCTATATCAGGTACTTAGTGATAAGTTAAAGTTTGGACATATCAAGGTAAAAATTGAGACTTTTGTTGAAGCTCGATTATTTAGGAATATCATAGCTACTATTTAAGTTAGATTTGGCTTGTTTGCTTTTTGTTTTAGTTCTTGTTTGAGTGTTGGAGACCCGTGTTAGTTATAGTTCAAATCTTCAGTAAAACTTTGAATCTAGGTCAAATTAGCTTAAAAATAATCACCCAAACTTGTTTAAATTTAGGACTTTTGTTTTTCATTTTTGTGCTTGACGATTAAACTGTGAGCTAGCTCCGAACAGCTTTCCTTGTGAGACGACTCGAGATTGGTCTTTATGATCATACTCGACAAAAATTCTACAACCATATATATGATAGAGTTTTACTAGTGTAAGGGCTCATTTGTTTGCCTGGAATAGATAAGATTAAACCTTTAATCATGGGCAAAGTTTAAGGGACAAGTTGATGCATTTATACTTTATCTCAACTATTGTCAAGACAAACAATTGTAGAAATTAAAGTTTACAAGAATCATATCTTACGGATAACTGACAACAAACGTAGATTCATTTTCATCTCCACAATATTATCATCTATCACTTTTAAAAAAAAATAAAAATAAAAAAATAAAAAAAATATCTTATCCTATCTACCAACAACAATTGAGGCTAATAAGACTAATAAAATGATTAATTTTACTTTGCTCCATGTGAATTGTGATTGTATGCATGTGCGTAGGTCTTCACGAGTCATTCCGAAAATTAATCTCGTCACTTTGTTGCATTGTGATGCATGTGTGAGTAGGTCATCACGAAACGAAAATTAATCACGTCACTTTATTGAATTGCTGGGCGTTTGAATAGCTCATCACTTATATTCCTAATCTGTAGATATAATTGTAAGTTATCCAATTAATGAGATAGACTATACTTTTTCTGCTCAAATATTTTTAGCTCTAAATGGTAAGTATTTTTCTTAATGCGTTATTGTTTTGAGATTTTAAGGTGTGTGTTTATCGTGCTGAAAAGTTATTTCCAACGGTTATACCATTAGAATATCCGTGGAATTTTCGTTGGAATATATTACATTGAAATTTTTTGTTGGAATATAACAATTTTTTTTGTAGTGTCCTCAAACACACACAATTTATATAAAAAATGAAAAATATATTAAAATGTTAATATAATTATTTTGAAACACTTACTGTCCATATTTCATATTTTAAATTAATTTTAATTAACAATATTTATGTAAGTACTTAAAGACGGAATTTAATACGCCAATAATTAACCAAATGTATATTTCAGTCTGTATTCTATTACTTTATCGAATTACAATTTCAAGGGATCATATCGGAGTTTCAATTTATTATGATACATGTAGTATCAACGGCGGATTCAGGATGATTATTTAATGGGGCACCAAATAATTAACACCGTGTCGTCCCTACGAGGTTTGATGTATCTTTTTCTTTTTCCTTTTTTTTTTTAAGTATATGTATACATATATTGACGGAATAGCATGAGGCCACTAAATATATATATGTATCTTTTTTAATGGGCTACTAAATATAAATAAGAAAAAATTCGGGTAACTGACCGTGTCGTTGTCTAGGGCTAGTAATTTCATAAGATAGCGAGATTTGATACCAAAGTTGATTAGACGAGTCGGTCGAGGGTGACTTTACCCTCTTGGATGACTCTAACTCGAGCTTTATTGATTTTAAGTGAATGGTGCTATCAACTGAGCTTACCCCTTGTCGTTTGCATTTACATTAAAACTTTACTTTAAAGTAATGCGAAAAATTTGTTCCAATATTGCTACATGTAGTGCGACACTATTCGCGGTGCTACAATTTCTTTTCTTTAAAACTAAATTTTTAATTTGTTTCTATTTCTAAATATTATTTTGACAATGTATATTGTTGACCCCATAATTGAAGAATGGGCCCACCAAAGAGAAAAAGATAACTCGCGCCCAGTAAGTCGAGCTGGATTAACAGACCAGCCATTAGACCGAAACGAACCGAGCTGCGGGAGGCAACGACGCTAAATCCAACAGGGATATTAATCCGAGCTAGACTGACAGGCCCAACATAAGGCAATAAAATAAAGACAACCTGCAGCCTAATGTTGAAAGTCACATCTCCACCGACTAACTTGACGACCAATCAACCCTAAACCCGTAGGGTAGCACGACGCATTAAATGCGCCTATCTAATCAATTAAATGTGCGTTGTATGACCCGATGAACAGTTTTCGAGCTATAGTTACTATAAATACCTTTATAATAAGTGCAAAGGGGGATGAAAAATTACAGAAAACATGAGATATGAACTCTCGTCAAAAATACAAAAGAATATATTAGTCTGAGCTATAATATTATTGGACGACCTAGGCCGCTATCACACTATCGAATAATCGCATCATTCTCTACTTCTTCTCTGTCCAACTCTTTCCACGAAAAACATACACATCGGCTTTAACTAAGAACCCAAAAATCTAACTCCAAACACTTTTTAATTCATAATTAACCGTTGATCAAAAACGCTTATCAACAGTTTGACGCTAGAGGAAGGGCTACATAATTTTCTTGGAGTCAATTTTTGAATTATGAACACCGTTACAAGAACCTTTCTTTCTCTTGTTCACAAAAATCACAGAGAAACGACATCGTCTGACAAAAGAAATCCAAAGATTTGACGGTATTTGCAAAGACCCTGAAGACTCCGGCACAAAATACATTCGAGACACCGAAAAAATCCCAAGACTCGACGGTAGCGGCGAAGACCCTAAAGACTCCATTCAAGACGCCGGAGAAATCTAAAGATTCGACATAGCAGTAAAGACCACGAAGACTCCGTCTTTGAATACCCAAAAATGTCGGGGATCATAGACACGTGTACTGCCGGAAGGCCAGGGAAAGCTCCGGCCCAATCAGAAGCAACCTAATTAACAGGCGACACAATTAAAAATAGTATTTTAACCATTTTCGCAACATAGCATTTACAAGGCCATGATGAGTATAAGGATCACTAGCAAAAACAATCTTTAAATCCCCACATTACGGAAACACACTGAAAATTGATAAGTTGAGCAATAGAATGGTAAACACCAGAAAATTCGTCAAAAGCAGTTTTAAATGTTCCTAGAAAGTGTAAAAGAGTCGACATTTATTCTCACGATGATGGGTCTACTTCCAGATCTGTAGTAAACCGGTGGATGTGAGCTCAGATCTGCTTGAACCGCTTCCAAATCGTTACTAGACCGCGAGATTCCTGCAAAAACTCAACGCCGGAGGTGTTTCCGGCGTAGAGCCTCCAACGCTCAAGTCAGTATCAGAGTGATGAAGAGATGTTGCGCAGCAGCTATAGGGGAGAATGGGAATGCATGAGAGTTAGGGTTTGGGATTACCTCATCTCCTTTATAGAGGAGTGAATACTTACTTGAAGTGCCCAAAATGCCCAAGTCGGTGGACCTAGAAGGTCCAAAATGTCCTGGTCGATTCGTCTTCCCTTGTTGCTGAGTCATCACAAGATTCCTTCTTATCCTTTATAATATTCGGAACTTCAAGTGTGCTACAAGTGTGATGAGTCGTCATCACATCTCTACTATTCGAGGTGTGCGAAGTCGACTTGGAGAGCTTGGAAGTCGACTTATGGGTATGTACGGATTCGGAGGCTACGCTTGGATAACCCTCTGGGGTGAAGTCGTCTTCATAGAGTCATTTTAGTTGAGTCGACTACTGGGAGTCGACTTAGGATATCGGGATGCTCAAGCGTTATGCTCTTGCTGTTCTTCTTCCATTGATGTCGACTAGTGAAAGTCGATAGACTAAGGTCAACTTACGGGAGTCGACTAGACCAAGTTCTATCACTTCTCAGTTGCTATTGGTGGAATCGACTTTAGGGAAGTCGATTTGGGAATGTCGACAGAGTCATGTTGACATGAAAGTTGTTCGAGTGGTACACCGGTCGAGTAGGGAGCTTCTGGACCGGGNGTCGACTGCTTAAGAGTAAATTTGGTGAAGTATAATTGTGTCGCCTTCCTACCATTCTTGCTCGTACTGGCTTCTTCTACAACTCGTCTCGTCAATC